TATTTATTTATTTATTTATTTATTTATTTATTTTATTTTAATACGTATTATATATTTAAAAATCGAAACACTGAGGGGAGCCTGGTTGGCGTCTCTTGGTTTCAGCTCGGGTCATGATCTCACGGTTCGTGAGTTCGAGCCCTGCATCCGGCTCCGCGCTGGCAGTGCGGATGGGATTCTCTCTGCTTGGGATTCTCTCTCTGCCCCTTCCCTGCTCACTCTCTCTGTCTCTCCCTCAAAATAAATACACTTAAAAAACTGAAACATTTTTACAAACTTACAGATTTCCAATGTCTCTGCAGGACAAGAGTTATAGCTATCCGGTATGTCTGTCTGCCTGTATTCTTACAGGGCAGCAGTCATCGGAGCCCCGGTGCACCTGTGCCTTCTAAACGGCCAGCTCTTTTCAGTCCCTGCAGTGTCCCTCCCCCTGCCCCTCCCCCCACCCCAGCCAGATTTGCTCTTTGGATCACCCGCCAGGCTCCTCTAGGCATCTGAATCTGCCTCCAGATTTACCGTGATGGATTCTCCTCTGAGGCAATGACTGTACAAACTCACCTGAAGGTTAAGGGAAGTGGCCTCTCTGAGAACTCTGTAAATACCAAACAGGCTGGAAGCTTTGTCTCCCTTTCTTCTTACCTCGTAATGTCTCCTCACAGAATGGCTGCTGTTTGGCGGCTGATAGGCTATCTGCATGTCGCTTAGATCTTTCCAGGTGAACGAGGAGACGGGTCTGGTGTGATCCCACAGATGAGTCACGTAGCCCTGGGGTGGGGCCTTAGTAACGTTGAACACCAGCAAGGGCTTGGGCGTCTCATCCTCTTCACAGTCCAGAACGGCTGTGGTCAAAGAGGTCAGGATGAACTGATCCACTTCCAGAATGAACATGGCCATGAACGCAGCCCTTGGAATCTGATTAGGAATGCCGGCTCTGATATAGACGGGCAACCACGCACTCTCTGACTTTTGGAGGGGAAAGAAAATATGAGGGAAGAAACAACATAAGTAAAGTTATCACATATCTGGTTCCCAGGATGGTAGACGGAGTGTCCTTTAGTGACCTGGCTAGTGACCTTTAGAAACCTGGCTGCACATGAGAATCACCGGAGAGTTTTAAACATACACTAAATGCCCAAGCCCTATCTCCATGGGTTCTAATTTAGTTGTTCCAAAAAAGGGACAAGAAAACTGGTATTTTTTTTTTTT